GACGAAAATTTCGTTCGGCGAAGCGATCGTTATCAGAATCGGGAGGAAAAATGGTTCGAACGGAGCGATACATTTCCATTTGGCTAGAAATGATTTTCGTTTCGAAACTATATTGTAGCTTTTTCCGATAAAGCTACACAACATTGTTTGTACACGACAAATCGTAAAAAAAATTGCGGCACGCGTTAACGATTCTGCGTTTAATTTTTTAAAGCGAACTCACTCGTAAAACTCACACGCCTAAGGACACTAAATCAAACTTGGTCGCAAAGAAAGAAAGAAAGAAAGAAAGAAAGAAAAATAGAATCGCCTTATAAGTTGGTTCGTTTTCACGGTTAATAGTAGGAACAGCTATATTGGAAAAGATTGTAAATCAGCCGTTTCTATTTGAACGGTTGGCACACGCGAGCCAACTTCTTAGCACGAAGTTTAATAATAAATCAAATGATCGGCTCCCTTCGTCGGTCGAGAATTTTATTTAACAAGTTCACGAGGGGCAAAAGGGATGCGTTGTCGCGAGATTATTCATTCATTTATCCGCTAGACTTTATCGAGTTGATCGACAGGATATTGCTTCTTCTTCTTCTTGGAGGCGAAGGAGGAGGAGAACGGTGCGCGTGGAATTTTGAATGGATGACGGAAGGGAAAAAAAGATGAAACGAAACAGCGAGAAAAGAAGGTGGAAGAGGAATTTCTCGTTCCTTCGTTGTGTTCCCTGAATCGTGAACGGACGAAAGAAGAGAAAGAAGCGGAAAGATGGAAGAATCGCGTGATTACGTAATATTTTCATCAGATCGTTTATAATATTTATCAAGTTGCGACGAGTGTGACGAAGAGAGAAATCGATCGAGAAGGAGGAAAAATCGAGGAGGAAAAATACTCGAGATGAGTTCAGTTTTCAACATCACTCGATAAGGAAGGATTATTGCATAATTTATGTCTAGCAAGGTGAATGAAATGTTGTTTAAAGAAAATCTTGTTTCGTTCATTCGAGCGAAAAAAAGTAAATGGAGAATGAAACGAAAGAGAAATTTGTATATTATTTGTTGGAAAATGAAAAAAAATGTTACTCTCTTTCGGAAATACTAGAAATTCTCACAGAGGGCCATTCGACTGTTTAAACAATTGAAAAATGTGATTACGTTAACAAGAGTAGGCATGCCTTTGATCTTGAACCGGTCGTCATCGTATCACGAGAGAGAACGAATATTCATATTTAATTGTGAAACGTAGAATGGAAACGTGAGAAATTAATTTTCTTTGAATTTTCTTAAAGAATAAATAAATTAATTCGTTATCAAATTTAAAGGAATTTCGTCGTGGAATATTTTTTCCAGAGAGATGATCTCGATTACAAACATTTAGTTTTCGAACAAATATTTATATGGATTTAAGAATCCATTAGTCCAGATATCGATAAATCTTTCGAAAAGGAAAAGGAAATGGAGATTCTTGCAACTTTTCTATTAAATAGGAAAATAATTTTTAAAATAATTCTATTAACACGAAATTTCTATTTTTAAATTAAAAATAAGATGAGGTTTACGACGAGGAACAGAAGAGATTCAGAGATTCCTTGATAAAATAGAGAATATCTCGACGATTAAACGCAGTCGAGATCCGTTGAAAACATATTCATCGCATTTCGCATTCATCAACTGGCCGACATCGATCTAGACGATCTAGACGTGGCGATCTATCGGATGATCTATGTGCCTTCTGTTCCACGACTCGCTCGTGTGTTTACACCGATGTTGATACCTTTCCGTGTGAATAGCGAGCTTCAGCTTTTCAGAAGAAGATTATCCAGCCGAAAGATCGAATTTCGATGCGATTGTAACGCGTTCCATTGCTGATTCATTTCCATTTCCAACTTGGAGGAATTTTGATGGTTCATATTGGAATTTTTCCGGATGTCGGAGATATCGATAGTATACTACCTTCCTTTCTCTCCCTCTTTTTTTAAATAGAGAAAACATTTTTTTTCTTTCTTAAATTGAAAATTCAACGAATCCATTTTTAAACTTTTTCTCAAGCGTTCGTGCGTAACGTATGGAAAAAATAATTTCAAAGAAGCGTGTTAATCTCGATTCATTACACTCTTCAGGTGTTACTTTATTCGTTATTCTCTCTCGTCCTTGTTTATTCTCTCTTTAAGATAAATTTATGAAAAGCTGTTTGTAAACTCAACAACAATAGCGAAAAAGGTTGATCAAATTCTTAACTTTGCGTAATTATTATCACGAGTTATAACGAGACGTTCGTTTCGTTCAACTTCTCTCTACTTTTAATAAAAATATTAAATATATCGTTTCGTGACAACAGTATAACAATATCGCAGTGTGTTAAAATTATGTAACTTTTTAATTTTTAATTCGTCAGGAACGTTTTAGTTAGTTAAAAAGCATCTTTCTTTTTTCGTTCCTCTCTCTTTTCCTCTGCAACAATAATTCGATATTTTATATGGAAGCGAATTAAAATTGCTCGCCACGAATCCATCATCGTTCGACACGATTCGTGCACGCGTTTGATTGAAACGCGTCGTTCCATTGTCCCGTTCTTTACGTATTCACATTGCGAAGATCTCGCACGATGCGCAGCAAGCAAACGTTCGAGATCGTTTCATGAGCGATTAAGTTCACGGCCCGTGAGATTTTCGTCAAGATTACCGTCGAATTACGAGAGCAAATTGAATTTCGAAGCGGATCTTGAAGGCTTCGCCCGCCGGGGATTCGAGTTTCACGCTTCAAACAAAACGAGATATCCTCCGAACGCTGTTTTCATTCCTGATTTTCGAACAAAGATCGTTTGAACGTTGCTCGATCAATTTCATTCGAGGAGAAGTGTATTTTTTTTTTTTTTTTTTTTTTAAATTGTCGGATACAATCGGATTCGCGCCGATATTTACGATATCGTTCGTTAACAACGATTACACAATCCCATAATACCGATCGAAAAGATCAAATTTATTCGATATTCGCAACATCATCGAACGACCCATAAATATGCATGGACGTTTTTTATACGCGTTTTATTTACTTTTAATTTTCATTCATAAATCACGCGTATCCCGTTAACGAGTGTTTCGCGTACGAAACCGAGATTTCTCTTTTTCAATTTATTCGATCCAATCTTTTCTCTCTCTCTCTCTCTCTCTCTCTCTTTCTCGTCTTATTTTAATTTCGTTCCTTCTTTCGAGGAGAACATCGAAATAATCGTCACGAATATTTTCCCACGGGAGAAATTTTTATTATGAACGTGTTCGATTATTATTTCGCGAATGTTCCTTTTTTCCGCGGGGGCGGGAAAAAATGCCCGTAAAAAACAAACTGCGATCGATTTTCGTGCGGAAACAGGGCAAATAAACGGGAGCGAACGTGTCGGGTATACGAAACGTTAAACGAACAAATACACATGGGTCGAGGCGTGATGCGAACGTAGCAAATCGCTGTTCGCGGAAATCGTACGAAAATATCGTTTCGGTTCAAGTTGAAATCGTTAATATTACTAACAACGATTTCTACGATGTCCGCTTGCAACATTTTCCTTATAATACAACCCTAACCCGTTCGATTCCTTACTCTTTTCCTTACTTTTTCTCAGCTTTCTTATTCGTTCATTTAAAAAAGAAATACATTTCTCTTTCGGGATGAAAATTTCGATATCGTTTGGTTGAGAAGTGAAACTTTTGGCAAAAAAAAAAAAAAAAAGAAAAATACGAATATAATTTGTGTTATGTCGAGGGAAGGAGAATGAAATCGAAGGAAAAATACCGAGTTGGAGAGGCGTGATGAAAAGAGGCGTGTGGGCAAGGGATGAAGTGGAGCGAAACGAATGGAGAATTCGAATTGTTGGTTCGATTGGATCGGTCCGCGTTGGTAGCAAGCTCCGTAACGTTACCGCGAAATGCCATTAAGCTACCGTTATCTCTATAATAACCTGGTATTGGCGGGTTATAATAGGGAGCGTCACAAAGCGAACATTATCGCGTACCGTGATTTGATGCGCGAGCTAAATGCGGATTGCCAATTAGCGGTCTTCGCTACACACGCTTCTGCTTAATCTCCTTGATCATGCCTCGATCTCGACACATCGACTCCCGCGTAAAACCGTCTAATTGTATTTAGAGATCTGCGATCTGAATTCGCGAAATCTTGAGCGGAATAGTTTAAATTGATTTCCAAGAGGTGAGGCAAATTTGTTTAAGACGAGCTGTTGTACTATCGCGAGCGTGAATCAAATTGTTTCACCGAGATCGAGAAATTATCTCGGTGTTCTTTTCTTTCTTATCCACGTTCGTGAAATAACGCGATTTTTTTTTCGTAATTTACACAGCGGTTCTTTCCACTTTCCACGTAAAGAAGGGGGAGGGGTGGGGGAAAAACGCGCACACCATACCGATGTTTCATCGATTTTTGAACGCGTCTACCCATATCGCATATTGTATTAATCGCGATCAGACACGTATATGTTATACGGCACGTCGACAAATCGATACATCCCTAATGTAATTCGAATCCGTCGTGTAGGTGCAGGCTCCATGTTGATTTAGTTCAATAAGCGGATAACCCATTATTGCGCAATGTACTAAATACGCCGGTCGAGCGGCGCTCTACGACGAAATGATGAATTTGATTAATTTGACTAATTTCATCCGAGAGATAATGGTTACGATCTCGAAGCGAACTATCTTTGCGAAAAAGGAGGAGGAATCTGTGGAATTTATAACGCGATATCGTTCCACCGAATATCGTAGTATATGTAGTATCGTATACGTGAAATTATTTGATACGTGATATTTTACGACCGCTGCTAACATTTGAAACCTTTGTTCTTCGTCAACAGGTTACATTCGACACCCGGCAATTGTCGAACTTTGCCGTGGTGGTACAACAATGACGATCGATTTACGGACGATAGAGAAGAAATAAACGATCGAGGCGAATTTTTCAGTTTCCCCGAAACGAGGAAATTAATATCGATGATGATCGTGTTTGCAGCGACGTGTCGATATCGTCGAGCGTTCGGGAGTGGCTACGTTCACCCGCTTTCGACGCCCGGCAATGGGAGGACGAAGAGCTTCTCCTTATGCTGCAAACCATGTTCGTCGAGCTGGACCTACCTCAAAAGTTTAACATTCCTTTACCAATCCTGAGGAACTTCCTCTACGAAGTTTACAACAACTATAACGAAGTGCCGTTTCATAACTTCAGGCACTGTTTCTGCGTGGCGCAAATGGCAAGTATATACATATACATACATACATACGTACGTACGTACATTTCTGTTAAAACGCGATGCGCATTTACACGTAACGAGTATAAACAGCGACAATGTAAACACGACGTAAAATATTGTAATATATCTTCATATTTTCATTCGAATCGAGAGACGTTGATTAAATTCGAGGAATTTTCGTGGAAAAAGAGGGAAATTCCTCCATCGCGTATCGAGAATAACAACAATAATGAGAAATATCCTGTTGCAGATGTACGCGATAGCTTGGGCGGTGGATCTACCGTCACGGATCGGTGATCTGGAGGTTTTTATATTAATCGTCTCCTGCATCTGCCACGACTTGGATCATCCGGGATACAACAACATTTATCAAATAAACGCCCGTACCGAGTTGGCGCTCCGTTACAACGACATCTCGCCGCTCGAGAATCACCATTGCTCGGTGGCGTTCCGCGTCCTCGAGGCCCCCGAGTGCAACATATTGGCGTCGTTGGACAATCCCACCTATCGGGTGGTACGCGAAGGGATCATCAGATGTATCCTTGCCACGGACATGGCCAGACACAACGAGATTCTCGGCCAATTCACCGACATTATCCCGGAATTCGATTATTCGAGCAAGGCCCATATCAATCTCGTGAGTTCGTGAATCGCGTACATTTTCTATAATAAACATAATAGCCACCGAATCTCGACAACTCGTCGTTCCAGTTATCGATGATCCTGATCAAAGTGGCGGACATCAGCAACGAGGCACGGCCCATGGAAGTGGCGGAACCTTGGTTGGACAGGTTGCTCCAGGAATTCTTCAAGCAGAGCGACGCCGAGAAGCTGGAAGGATTGCCGGTCACGCCGTTCATGGACCGCGACAAAGTGACCAAACCCTCGTCCCAAGTGAGCTTCATCGGCCTCGTCTTGCTCCCCCTTTTCGAGGCCCTGGGTGAACTGTTTCCGGAACTGCAGGTATCATCCCTCCTCCTATTATTATACTTGTTATCATTGTACTTGTTATGCATTATTCGAAACGAAAAGACGATGAACACGGATTTGCAGGGGCTGATAGTGCAGCCGGTGAGGGAGGCGTTGGAGTATTATCGGAGATTGAACGAGGCCGCGAAGGACGAGCGGCATCATCGGAAGAGCGTTGCGGACGTTGGGGAATCGACGTGCGCGAGCACGGGGGGGGTTGGGGGGCGTCGAGCGTGGCGAAGTCGAGCTCGTCGCACAGCATGCGGTCGAAACGGTCGGCGGGCACGATTCGGTCGCGGTCGCGTTCCACCGACGAGGACGTGACGGAGAACTTGACCGGGGAAGACGCGGAGAATCTGGAGAGCTCGGATCCGGAAACGGCGACCGAGGTGGAGGTGAGCGAGAAAACGTTGAAGTTCAAGATCTCGACGGAGGGGAGCCTGTCCGGGGCTGGAACAGGTAGGAAAAGCTACCCGGGTAGCCGGAAGGGTAGCCGTGAGAAATCGTCACTGGATTATCATAATCACGACCTGGCCAGGGCTGTGAGGGAGCACGAGAGGAAACGGGGCGGTAAGGGAGAGAGCCTGGGCAGCGATCTCAGCTCGCCCGCCAGCGCTTGGTCCGCGGAGGAGACGAGGATCTTGGAGGAGTTGGAGAGGGCGGACGCGGAGAGCGTTGTCCGCGAGTCGGAGGGGAAAAGTTGGAGCGAGCGTAGAACGGCGACGACCACGGCGACCACGATGATCGAGGGTAACGGTAACGTGGTGGTGGTCGAGGGCCAGGAGCGGAGGAACAAGTTGAGGAAGGGGAGCGGTTCGGTGGAGAACGATCGGGAGACATCGAGGCCCGGAACTCGAGGCTCGAAGGAGGTTCGGAGGGAGTCGGTGGTCGGGTCGCGGTGTTGCTGCGAGGACAAAACCGGTTCCAACAATCACAGATCCATCTTCTCGAGATTGAGAAACTTCACGGATCGATTGAGCATCAGCTTCGACTCGAAGGATCCGCCCACGCCCAAGCCGACCAAACACATCGCGACCACGAACAAAACGTTGAACAAGAGCAACTCGTTGACCGCGGCGAGCCCTCGCTCGTCGGCCGCTACCTCGTCCAGCCAGTGCAACAACTCCGTGACGGAGTTTTGCAAGCGGTGCAATCTCGCCAAGAGCTCGTCGAAGGAGGGCAAAGGTGTGGCGAGCGTGGTGGAATTATCCTCGATGGAGAAACGGGCGATGACGTTGCCGAAGGTGAGAAACAAGGCCGACTACAAGAACAAAAGTTGGAGGACGGTGTTCGCCAAGGAGAAACGATCGTCCGCCTCGTTGGAGGCTTTGCCCGCGGCCGTTTCGTCCGATTCGTCGTTGTCGAAACATCGGCGGAATTCCTCGAATCCGGAGGGCAAGTCGCACAGCCTGAAAACGGTCAAGGATCAGAGGTGTTTGGGCATGGAGTTCGCGGAGATCGACGTGCCCACGAAGAAGCAGCAACAGCATAATCGTCACCACAATCGCCACCATCCGCACCACCACCACCACCACCACCACCACCATCATCATCATCACAATCAACCGGAGATAATCGTGAAGGGGGTTGAGTACGGGTCTAGAGAGGTCGTGGAACGAGACGTGGAAAGTAAGGTAGAGATCAGAAGAAGCTCGGCTAGTATGGAGGATATATCGAAGATGGCGAAACAGGCTGAAAGCGCGATGCTCGGTTCGTTGGAGCCAAAGAAGACGTCGGAGGAACGTCCTCACGCGGGTAGTTTGGACTCGATGCTGTACAAGGATTCGTCGAAATCTCGAAAGAAGGCCGCGTGCTCCTCGCCCACGACCTCCTCGAAAAAATCATCCCCCGGCCTGTTGTCCCGGTTCAAGTCAGGCATGAGCATGGACAGCACGAGGAGCAACAGCAACAGCGACTCGTTGCACGATCAAAGCTCCCAATCCCCGAGCGGTTGGATCTCCTCGTTGACGGCGAGCTTTCGACCGAAGAGGCAGGTGGCCTCGGAAGCGCCGCCCTTGTCGTCCTCCCATCCTCCGCGTTCACCCAGCCGAGAGGAGATCAAGTGATACGGTCTACGATTGGTCGAGGACTCTTCCGAGAAACAATTGTCGGGCCTGCACAGGTGGCTGGCCGAGAATATCTTCTGCTGCAGCGGTTGAAACGCGTTTCGTTCGTGCCGTTTATTCGAGCCAAGTAATAATCTGTAATAATAATAATAATCGGGTGGAGAATACGGGAGGAGCCAAAGATCGTTGACTGAGATTGAAAAGGAGATTGAGCGGGGGAGGAGACGGATGTGGTGAGCATTGGACACAGAGAAGGGAATATATGGAAAGGAAGGAAGCGTTCGCGTTTTGCCGAAATAATCGACTCGAGTCGGATCCGCGTCTGTTGGCCGAAGAAACTCGATTATTATCTCAACGATCTCAAGCGTCGGACACTTATCGAGGGCAAAGAGAGATATCCGACCAAGCTTCTCTCCCCATCGATTCTCGGCCAAGAATTAGAAGGTATCTCCTCTGTGCGACGATCTTCTGCCCGCGTTCTGGATCCGCGTTTAAATTGAAACGCGCCTCGGTGTTGCGGACGAAGCAAGCAACAGTTCACCGAATTTTTCGCGTGGAACTCGAGCGATTAGATATCCGGTCAAACACCGGATGGAGGTAGAGAGGAGAGAACATTCGCACAAACAATCTGACTGTATTCCGTCGCGTCGCGTCACGGATGATTATTGGAACGATTATTAGAAATTGGAGAGAAATGAAGATGGACAGGTTCTCGAACGTTGTACGAGGATCGAAGCGCGATTTAAGGGGAAAAATAATATAGTACGTCTTCGTATAGTAAGTCGATTAGCTGTTTCCAAATGTAGCCAGAGAATGTGTGAGTGTAATTAACGTTCGTATCGAAGCCAAACTGTCGAACAGCTGGCCAATACCAAATATATGTATATTGCTCCTAATTATCGATCTCCGTTCCGAGAGCAGAGTTGTGTGAAAGAGCGGGAGAGAGCGAGAGGAGAGACTGTGAAGAGGAGTGAAAGAGAGGGAGAGAAAGGTAGAAAAGAAAATATTGCGTACGATGAAATATAATAATTTGTCGAGATCGAGCGGTTCGAACTGGCATAGAGATTGAAACGAAAATATGAAATATTGAAAAAAAGAAAAAAAGAATCGAAGCGAGGAACGAAACGAAAATGGACGGCCTGAAAGAAGAAGAAGAAGAAGAAAAAAAAGGCGCGTTATATAAACTATTTTATTTATTGTCCAATTAAAAAAAAAAAAAGAATAGCCTAATGAGTAATCATTAATGTTGTTCGTTATTATACATATATATATATATATATGTATACATATATATATATATATATATACACAATAAAATATATGACAAAACGCAATGTATACAAAGACGTGAAAAGAAAGATGTGCGATTCCCATCGAGACGAGAACATAACGTATATAAATATATTATAAAAAATACATAAGAAAAGAATCTCTCTCTCGTACGAAAAAAGCAGGTCTATTGTAATAGAAAAAGAGTTCAACGTGTAGATATAGATAGTGAAATGAAAAGAATCAAGACGGATGTGTCGCGTTGAATTAGAATTAAAAATTTATCCCCCCCCCCCCCGTTTTCGAAAAATAAAATTCCTCTGTCACGGAAAAAAAAAAGGAAAAAAAGAAAATAAGAAGGAAGGGAAGAAAAGAAAGCAGAAAGAGAAAGAGAGAGCGAGAGAGAGAGAGAA